ACATGAAATTTATAAACAATATCATCTACCTACCAGACTAAATAAACATAATGTCCTAACTCTAAAGGACCAGGCAGGATAATTTATAATGAAGTAATATGCATAGATATATGTAGCACAATATATAATATAATAATACTGATCATATATGTGAATGCTTGGGCCCACTTACTCTAGAAGGCATAAAGCAGAAGCTGGCTCCCTATGCCTCTGCTCAGAATCACGGCTACAGATGCAGAGGGACCCAGGAGAGCTGTGTGTGCACTCAGTCACCACAGGAAGCATTGTCTCTGGTGATGTACCTTCCAAAGTAATGAATCATTTTTAGTGACATACTGAACAAAAGAAAGTATAATTTTAGGATTGTACTGTAGGCACATTCCTAGAAACCCAGCATGTATTTGAACTGTGACAAGTACTCTGTATGACATAGAGGACAGAGTCAAGATCTGGGAACAGATTAAGAACAGGTTTTTCACTGACAGCAATGTGCAAGGAGATTACAAATTAATACAGTCTCTGTCCTCACGCTGACAATCAAACGCGGCTCCCTACTTCTCTACTTCCATGTGAGAACAGTACATTCCCAACTGAAAACTAACTGCTTTTGTGACACAGAGTAGACTTAGAGTTGCTGGATACTTAAAATTTAGATGAAATTCTCCGTATGTATGCTGGCAAGTGACTTAAAATGTGAGACCTTACATGAACCAAGTGAGATCTGCAGGCTGCTCTTGACCGATGGATGACCAGGCTGCAGCCTGGGCAGGAGAGCATAAGGTAAGAAGCCAGTGGCGGGACCAGGTTGGCATCGGAGGATTGGGCACAGTAGGGAGCAGGACTTGGAGCTGTGGACCTGGAAACCACTGACACATTCTAAGTAAGGGCTTGGTTGCCTAGTTGAATAGCTGTGCATTTCACATAAATCACCAGGCTACAAATCACAGGAAAGTACCAGGGGAAGAACCGGGGGTCCCTGGAGGGCGATGACAGTCACGAGGACAAAGCCATGGAGAGACTAGCTTGCTGTGGAGACTGACCTGATGTGGTGAGGGCAGAGGTGGGCTCCCCAGTTTCTGACCTAGTGTCATGGTAGTAGGGATACTGAGGAGAGGCAGGTGTGAGAGGAAGCTGGTGGGCTGATGTGTGTGCAGGGTGGAGGGGGCTTTTGCCTGGGCACGTGTTCAAATTTCACAAGAAGTAAGTTTACAAACTAGGGATAGAGTGAGGAGATTTCTTCTTGTTCTTTTATCCAGACCACCTTGTATATTGACAGTGGACCCCAAAGAGGATTTCAGTGGGGAATTCTCGAACTTCACTGTGTATCAAAATCTCTCCGGGAGCTAACTAGATGGGGACATTGCAGGTCCCACTCCCAACTGCTCAGTCCTGTCTCTGAGCAGCATAGGGGGTCCTGGGACCTGAAATCTAGCTGGACTTCTGCGGAGCTTTTGCCATAATCTGCAGCATCCTAATTTAGGTTACCAGCAGCACTGGCTCTGCAGTTTCCATGGCACATTCTGGAAACTGAGACTGCACTCAGCTTGGAAGGAGCCGACTAGGTTCAGGAGGCCAGGGCAGCAGAGGCGGGTCATGTGCATTCAGGCAGGGTGTGGGGAGCCAGAATTCAGCTGGCCAGCTGCAGGCCACACCCTGGCATCTCACCTTCTCCCTCTGAATGTCTGGGCCACTGGCATGATGCCCTCTGAGGAGTCCCTAAACCATGTTTCCATGATGTCAGGAAGGCCAGACCTGCTTAAGGGTATTGTGTGCATGATGGTGGTACAGGGGACTGAACCCAAGGCTTTTTGCTGAGCTACATCTCCAACCTTTTTGAGACAGAGCCTAAATTGCCCAGGTGGGCTCAAATTTACAGCCCTCCTGCCTCAGTCTCCCAGAGTGCTGGGATTATAGGTGTGTACCCCACCTCCTGCTCAGACCTGTCCTTAACAGTGTTCTGTGACTGTCCACATTGCTTCTCTGTTTCATGCATTCATAGAGGAGCCTCCATGGCTTTCATCCCAGACCCCACACCCAGAGACTCACACATTCATGCCCTCTTCTGGTATCTAGAGAAGAGCCCAGGTCCTTACTGTTGCCTGACCCTGACCTAGTCTGCCACTTTCCCTCCCCTGCCTCTAACCATGACTGCCTTTCCCTGACACACTGCCTGAAACAGTGCACATTTAAGAGATAGTATTTGACCCAAACTACTCAAATTTTTGCACCTCTCTTTTGTGAGGCAGAACAAAGGTCTTCTCTCATGGCTTTGCCATTCTACCTGTGCTCTCAACTTGTGTTTCAACGCCTTTGGTCAATGAAGTCCTTTGTCATCAGCATGAGCCTCACTCTTCTCCAAGCAGAACATATCCTCAGCTGCCCCTGAAAGTCCCTATTGTATTTGCACAGACAGTGCACCATGAGACGAAGAGGTCGAGTTCCGGAGCCAGACTGTCTAGGTTTGAATTTCTGCTCAACTGGTTTCTAGCTGTTGCACCAGGCAAGTTACTTAACTATTGTCTTCCTTTTCTCATCTGTAAAAGGGGGACACTACCTGCACTAATACCATACAGGAGTGTTTTGGAAAGCAGATATTCTGAAGTCAATACTGATAGTTGTGAAGAAGGGGCAAAGAGAGACAATAATAGTATCTAGCTCATAGAGTTATTATGGGAATTAGAGTTAATATGCTTAGAATAATGCCTGATGTGCTCACTGGAAGCTACTTATTACCTTTTTCTTTTCTAATGTTTGTAGGTGTGTGCATGTGCACACAGTGGGTCCAATGCGGGGTCTTGTATACATGCCAAGCATGTACTCTATCACTATTTCCTCTGAGTGTGAAAGTAATAACTATTTATGGCAGAAAATTATCAAAATGAATAGGGGAACCCCAGCACAATAATTGGATGTATAAACAAATAAGATGTATAACAAATAATATAAACATTATTTTTGGGAACAAAAATAATGCATACACCAAGGAAACAACTAACCTGGTGGGCAGGAGTATGCATGATGGACTGGAAAGTCTTCACTGAAATTTGAAGCTTATAACAAAGTCTCCAAAGACAAAGGAGCATCTGTTAGATAAACAGGAGGGAAGGACCCAGAGGAAGAACAGATAGAAAGACAGGCATTACACAGCTTTGTCCCCTCGTAGTACATCCTCTACCCCTGCATCACTCCAGGGTACTATGGGGGAAGTGGACGGGAGGATGCTAACATGTCGGACAGGAAACAGGCAGGGCTGGAGAATGGAAAGCTACCTGGGGCTTCATTTCCAGGAATTTGTTTATGTATTTGGTACAGGGTCTCACTATGCAGCTTGGACTCATGGTCAATCCTGTTTTCAGCCTCCCCAGTGCTGGGATTATAGGCATGCGTGGTGGCCAGATCAGCAAGCCTGGGGGTGGGCTGGTGTGGCATGTGGTGCCAGGGATCAAACCCTGGTCCCTGCACTTGCCTAAGCAGGCACTTAGTTGGCTGAGCTATCTTGCCAACCCCATTTCTAATAATTTGAATGAACAGTAGAATGGTTGACCTTGTGCAACAAGGAGCCTCGTTCCTGGGGCTCTGATGGAGGAGGGAAAGCCACCTGTCAGGGCCACTGTGCAGTCTGTGCTGAGCAGCCTGAACAAAATGGTCTCTAAGGCCTGCTGTGTGGGCAAACTTGGGACATGAATGTTGGGTATGCATGGGGCTTTGTCGCTTTGCTATCTGACACATGAAGACAGCACACACCAAGGCTACAGACACCAAGGCTAGTGGAAGGAGGCTGGACATTAAGGCCGAGACAGAATTTTATTCTGTAAATCAGAAGGCACTGAAATGCTTCATCCATTTAATGGCAAGTCTGTCACAGGTGCTTTGAGGACACTGCAAGAAAATATACCTATTAACCTATTAGATTGATATAATCAGAGAATAAGGACCTTTCCTCCAGGGTTAGCAACATTGAAATGAAGAGGAAGAACTATGAAGACTGTAGGGAAAAAACATAAACAAGATAATCACTTTTTCACACATGCTCTCGACAGGTAGGCCATGTCCTCCCCTGTCAGAGCTATTACTAACACCTTTTTTCACAGGCTGTTGTTGTAAGGAAAAATTTATAAAAGCCACTTGAAAAAGGCCAATCAGGCTGGTATAGTGATGCCATTTAGCTATTGTTAGCATCACTTGCAAAATCCATTTCCTCTAATCTCAACTATGAAACCTTCATCTCTGACAGTAACCTCTTTCCATTACAGAATCTGCCCAATACCTGATGCTAGTTAGATACAGGAAGGACAGAGAAAACTAGTTTTAACTCGGAGACACTTACAGAAATTGAGACCGCAACAGTAAATGAGAAAAACACACATTTGAAATAATAAGTCCAGCAGTAAAAGTTCTGCAGTTGGAGACCTGTGTGGAATCTGGAGGAAGAGATCAGTAACCTCACAGCTGATGGCTGAAGCTTGGGGAATAAATGGGTACCAAGGAAAACAGCACAGAAAGGACAGGTTGATAAAATGGTGAAACATCGTGGAGCAGCCAGTTAGGGATGGAAATGAACAAAGAGCATGGGAAACAGGGATGGTCTGTAGAACGGAATAGAAATAATTTCTAACAATTATTTTAGCCTGATGTGGTGGTACGTGCCCATAAACCCAGCACCTCAGAAACTGAGGCAGTAGGATTACAGCAAACTTGAGACCAGCCTGGACTACACAGGGAGTTCAAGGCCAGCCTAAATTACAGAACAAGATCTCATCTCAGAAAACCTTAAAAAAAATTTTTTTAAATAACAAAATGTCCACATAATGGCCAAGATCAGTTGTAGGCCCCCTCAGATGATCTGAAGTGCTTACTCTTTAGGGTGGCTTCAGTATGTGTTTCAATCAAGCACAAAGGGGCTGATCCTTCACGTTCAGTGACTTACCTCGAGATCTCCGCAAAGCCTTTTTAGGTGCCCATGGACTTGCCCAACCCAAGCCGTCATCTGGAACTTTCTCTTTACGACATATTTACAACCTATCCTAAGACCTAGTTTATCTTTTCTAGAACATTTCATAAACATAACTATTTCTTCCTTCTCTGTGTAAAAAAAATGTACACTCTTGTTCCAGAAATTATGATAGTGTACCCTGGGGGGGGGGTGGCTTAAAAACCTACCCAACTAACGAGCAGCTTAGTTCACCATCCATCCTTTGAGAAACAAAGTCAAGCTGTATGTAGCAAATGCTGAGACAATGTTTCATGAACTGTTCTGTGAAATTAGAAACCTGTATTACATTGTCAATTACCATATATATGATTTAATGCTTTTTCAAAAAGGCCAGAGTCCCAAAATCTTTTCTCCCATCAGATTTTCAACCTAGCTTTCTCTGTGGTTATTATCTCTTTCTATGAATAACCCAACCAAGAAATCTAAATTGCACACCGCTACCCAACAACCAAGTACTCTTTTCAGGGTGCCTACAGCCAGTAACACCTTCATTTTGTTTTGTTTTTGTTTTTCATATTTTTGGTTGTTGGTCTTAAGTATTGTACTACACAGAATGAGCTGCAGCTCACAATATCCTATATGTGGGAGTAATTCTGTCAATGGTTCTATGTTGAATTGTGACAGTACAGTTTCTACAGAACTATGAAGAAGCACAGAAGGAAAAGGAAACCTCATATTTGTAACTGAGAAATGGGTTGTCAAAAAAAAAAATTTAAAGGTTAACTTTCAGATTCCATTTATAGTCTGCGTTTTAGCTGAAATAAATTTACCCCTGCACAAAAACACACTCAATTTCCTCTTCTGAAAAACTATTGTTTAATAGTGCACTTCATTTATGCTACAGGGTGAGCAGGGTTGGGAAAACAATGGAAGGTCATCCCTCAGGTTGGGAAAATTAAGGGATCGCCATCCTAGCCCTGCAAGGAGCCCTGTCACCAGGCAGAGGCCACAGCCTTCCTTCCCCGGGCTCTGCTCTTTATTTGGATTAATCCTTGCCTGTTGAAGTTAGAAGTGGAGTTAGGAGAGGTCTAGCTGCTGGAGTGAAATGTTAAGAGGTCACAGCGGTCAGGAGAGGCTGACTGAGTAAGCTCTTTGAGAGCATCCTTAGAAACTAGAAGTAGGAGTAAATCACTTGTCTTCATAGGAGTGGAAAGAGGATGAGGGCCGGAATCAGAGGCCAGAGCTAAAGGCGTCTGATCTGCACCCTCAGGTTATTCACCACTCAGTTGGATGTCCTAGTCAGTACAGGAGCCTGGGAGGCTCTGCCTACAGTACTGCCAGACTGCTCTTGGAAACATGGCCGTTGCTCCAGAAGCCCTTCAGCATAGTTATCACAGCAATCTTTTTTGGGGTCACTTCCCCCTCATTAATAAAATAAGTTCTTCAACACCAAGTTTCCTTAATTACTTAATGAAATCATAAAATGCAATAGCACGTTCCTTGTCAAATCTTAAAGCTGGATTAGGGACAATGGCTTCAAAAGACAGCCTCTATTCCTCTTCCTAGCAAACAACCCAGAACATTCTTTCCAGTGCCTTTTGTGCTTGCTACACTGATTCCAACTAGTAGAACCATTGGAACTTTATTCCTTATCTTCCATCTCCATGTTGGAAAGAAAGGCTCCTCTGGTGAGAGAAAAATGGTTTAGTGCAAACTCCCTTCCAAAAAAGGTTGACTGGTCCTCCAGCTTCCTTCTGTTCCCAGCACTTAATGTGACTTGCCTCTCAAGTTTTGAAGGCTGTTTTCTGGGAAATCCACTAGGTTTCTGGTCACTCTGCCACGATGATATACCCAATCTGCCCCATGCTCTAAAAGGAAAGGTTTGAGGTGAAAGGGACACAGCCTAAACTGTTCACAGTCACAAAATAAGGCAAGGGCTCTTAGACTTAGGAAGTGACGAAACAGGTATGCGGCTCTTTCATGTAGATTCTCTGATATTTAATTCAGCAGTAACTCTGAGAGAACTTTTGCTCATACCCATTACATTCAAAGGCTTCTCTCCAGTGTGAATCCTCTGATGGCGAACAAGGGCTGAGCTATACCTGAAGGCTTTTCCACACTCACTACATTCATAGGGATTCTCCCCTGTGTGGATTCTTTGATGCTGAATAAGGCCTGAACTATAGGTAAACTTTCCTCCACATTCCATACATTCGTAGGGCTTCTCTCCAGTGTGGATTCTCTGGTGCTGATAGAGATGTGAGCTCTGGCTGAAGGCCTTGCCACACTCATTACATTCATAGGGCTTCTCTCCAGTGTGGATTCTCTGGTGATGAATAAGGGTAGAGCTCCTACTGAAGGCCTTGCCACACTCATTACAAGCATAGGGTTTCTCACCAGTGTGGATTCTCTGATGGTGAGTAAGGGTAGAACTCCAGCTAAAGGTTTTCCCACATTCATTACATTCATAAGGTTTCTCCCCAGTGTGGATCCTCCGATGTAGTATGAGAGCGGAGCTACAACTGAAGGTCTTTCCACAATCATTACATTCATAAGGCTTCTCCCCAGTGTGGATCCTCTGGTGTTGAATAAGATGTGAGCTCTGGCTGAAGGCCTTGCCACATTCATTACATTCATAGGGTTTTTCCCCTGTGTGGATTCTCTGATGTTGAATAAGGTCTGAAGTTCGATTAAAGCTCTTGCTACATTCATCACATTTATGGGGTCTGTCTCCCAAAGGAAGTCTCTGATGTGAAATAAGGTTGGAATTCACAGTGAAGCTGTTTCCAAACTCATTGTATTTCTCATTTCTCTCTCCCATGGAGGAGAGCTTTCCCTCAACTGTCATTTGACCAAAATCTTGAATTTTCCTATTCAATCTTTTCCCAGAGGAGTTCCCTAGTTGCCTTTTTAGACTGACTTCTTGTTCATAGGCTTCTTCAAATTTAAGACCCTGAGAAATATCCTTTTGGAATCTTCCCAATAGCATCCCATGTGATCCTGAATCTTCTGAAATTTCTCGATCACTTTCAGTCCTGGATTCACTATCTGGCACAATAAGAAAAGCAACGTTACTTGTTTCACATGGAAAAAAAAGAGAAGAAGTCAGAGGAAAAGATAATCAATGTGACTGATTTTTATAGCACAAAAGCAAATTCCTTTTACCTGACTGAAAAGAGGTCTATCCTGTATGCATGTAGCTATAGCAAAGTAAGATAACTGGCCAAAGGAAACAGAAAGAACAAGGTAGAAAGTAAAATCAAGGAGAAAAGAACTGAAAGAACAGAGAAAGTAGAAGCTGTCAGGAGGGAGGATGATCAGGCAAGTTGAGAACCAAAACTAGAAGAGAAAAGACATATTGTTTAACAAGTAGCAAAGTCTTCAGACAGGTCACAGGCTGTAGATACCACTGGGGAGATGGTGGCTGCAAGAACAGTTTAAGGGAGGGCAAATATAAGAAACTGACAAAGAGGGCTGCAGAGAAAGGTGAGCAGGTAAGGGTGAAGAGCAGCACAGTGGGAGGAGCAGGAGAAGGAGACAGGATGGGCGGGGAAGGACTCCTTACCACCCCTCCCTCCTGACAGCTTCTATTTTCTCTGTTCTTTCAGTTCTTTTCTCCTTGATTTTACTTTCTACCTTGTTCTTTCAGTTTCCTTTGGCCAGTTATCAGCAGGGCCATCCTGTCTGCAGTGCACTGCCTGTGCCACACCCACAGAAGCAGGCAGGATGGGGGTTAGTCCACCTCCGAGTGCTAGGCCAGAAGGCTATGCTCGTGTGAGAGCCTATATAACCACCTCAGTATTTGTTTATTTATTTATTTATTCATTCATTCATTTTGTGTGTGTGGCCAGCTCAGCCCACCAGGGGGCGGGGCTGGCTGGCATGTGGTGCTGGGGGATTGAACCGAGGTCCCTGTGCTTTATGCTTAGCTTGTTCTAAGTAGGTGCTTTAGACCACTGAGCCATCTCACCAGCCCACCACTTCAGTATTTGATGTCTCTGTTTTTCACTACTTCTAGAGAAAAGGTAAAGGGTCAACATAGCATTTATAGCTTGCTTTTCATTTTAAAAAACAGACAGGACAATGAGTGTCACAGACAGGAACAGCTGTATTTCTCTCACCTGAACAGGACCTCTTTCTGTTCTTAGTTCTCTTTAACCAGGCCCTTTGGCCCTTCCTCACTCAAACCAAGAGATCATGCTAGGATTCAGTATGGGAAAGAGACTTGGAATAAGGAAGCTCCTCCAGCTCACTGTGTGGCTGCAGAGCCAGTCGAGACACACTTTCCAGGACACAGAAAGGAACAGTACAGGGAGGGCTCAGGGGGGAGTCAGTAAGGGCCCCCTGCACTGCTCAGGAAAATGTTTTCACTGAAAGTGGGATAAAAAAACAAGGAATTAATCCTAAAGATTACAAAGGCTATTTCTCCTTAAAACAAATTTACATTTCTATAAAAGCAGCAGGTGCCCTTAATCCTAAAGAAAGCAGAGGTCCCTAGGAGAATCCAGCAGACTAGAGGTAGAGACAGAGTTGTTCAGAATGCTGAAACACAGAGCCGTTCACACTAATCTTTTAGAAAAGCTGCTAGACTATACATTAAGTAAATTTAGAGCTCTAAAATCTGGAGCTCTAAAATCGAGGCACAAGCTTAGCCACCCAGCAGCTGCACAGAACATCTGAGATCTCCAAGCTTACTTCCTTCTCCATAAAATGAGGGCAACGCCAGCTACACTGATTAGTGTCACTGTGAGGAGTATAACTGAGTGAATAAATACAAGTGAACACTGTTACAAGCTGCAGATTACCATATAAATGTAAGTTTTGGCTATCACTGCTATTAGAATTTTTTTTTTTTTTTTTTTTTTTTTGGTGGTACTGGGGATTAAACTCAGGACCTTGTGCTTGCCAGGCAAGCACTTATTCTACTGAGCTATCTCCCCAGTCCCACTATTAGGATTTTCTAAGAGAAGGCTAATCCCTACTTGTTCACAGTGACAACACTGTTAGCAACCACCAAGAAAGCCAAGAAACCACAGAGTTGCACTGGAAGGTGCCCGTCCTTACCGAGTGAGAACACATTCCCATAGTTTTCCAGCATCACATCCCTGTACAAGTTCCTCTGAGCAGGTTCCAATCGCTTCCACTCCTTCCGGATGAAGTAGACAGCCACATCCTCAAATGTCACCAACTCCTGAAACAACATGGTCACACATACAATTTCAGAGTCAGGGTATGAACTGACAGCACCAAAAAATCAATTCATGATAGGGCTGAAAAAGTGCCTTCTGGCTGGGCTGGGGGGTGGGGGGTGAGCACACACTTGTAATCTCAGCACTCAGGGGGCTGAGGCAGGAGAACCACTATGAATTGAAACGCCTTTTGGGAAGTGGGGAATGAGGTCAGAGCAGAGGGTGAGAGACAAGAGTCCAAGACAGAAGATAAGGACCATATTCAGTAAGAAAGCAGTACGGCCCTGGGATGCCACTGAACAAAACTGTCCACAAATGGGAAGGAAAAGGGTAAAGAAAACCACAGCTCACCTGGGACTTGGCTTTTAGGAGAGCAGCTGCCAACATCTCATCGCCCAAACTGTCCTTGTTGGAAAAGGCAGGAACTCTCGAAGAAGGAAGAGCTGAAGGGCAGTAAGAGGGCACAGGGGTGAGTCTCCCTGCTCTCTGGCCCCTGGCCAGTCTTCTCAGTGACACTGCCCAGCCCTACGCTTCACGGCTGCTGGTTTTTTGTGGAACCAGGGATTAAACTCAGGCCCTTGCACTTGCCAGGGAAGCACTTACTCTACTGAGCCATCTCCCTGGCCCCTTCTGCTGCTGTTCTTACCCTTTTCCTAAGCTGGGCCAGACACAGGCTTCTCTTACACATCCCTTCCATCTTTCTACATCTCTGAACTCAAATTCCTTCATCAAGTTCTTAGGGGTACATGAGCAGCTTCACTCCATTCCTGCCTGCAAACACAACCACCAAAGCGCCTTTCTCCACCCCTAGACGAAATCTACACAATGCAAATGTTTGTTGTTTCTGTGCTGGGCCACACTCTTCCTGCAATCTGTAAGGTTACATATTTGTCTCAGAGATTCCAAACCTCTAGACAGAGCAGATTTTAACAAAGAAGAATCTTAATTTTTTTTTCCTGAAAAGGAAACAATACCCATTAAAATTAAAACTAGCTCGAAACTCAAGGACACAATAAAAGCAAAATACACTAGTGGATTCCTATCTACTTTATCCTACCTTTTGTCCATCATTGGACAAAATGATGTCAAAAGACTAAAGAGCACAATCTATAACTACAAAGTGTGCTAAGAGGTGCCTGAAAGACAGAATTTGGTGTTGGCAATCCTGCACGAAGTGCCCAAAACCTTTCAAAAATGACTGTTGTGAAACTTCTCCAGCTGTGTATTAACAACCAGTGACGGCCAGCACCACCCCACCCCCACAAGACTGTGAGCTAACCAAACAGATAGGGTGTATCTTAGCCCCCCTGGATTCTAGTTAATCTAAAAACTAGTAATGAGAAATTTCAACAGATGACTGCTGAATGACTGAATACAATGTGGAATGAACCCTTATTCCTCACCACTCTCACGCAGGGGCTGAGGTTCCTGAGACACATGATCAGCCTGAGTTTCCATGGGTAGCGCAAAACGTTCTGGTCTTGATCGCCTATCTGCAGACTCGGCAGGAAACAGGTTTTGAATGGGAATAAGTACTGCAGAAGCAAAAGTTCAAAGACAACTTAAAAGATATCTTCTGTATACAGAAAGAGAACAAGTAGTATCTCAGTTAATACCCAACAGCAAGTGGGACTCGTCTTCTAGACTCTGGTGAACGTATTCACCCGTTCCGTGATACACTACAGAAGGACCCAAAAAGGGCCCAGGCTTCCCTCAATGTCCTATCCATGGCTCCCTGCTGAACACTCTGATATCTACAAAAACAGGAAGTGCTCAGAGTCATCAGGATGAAAAGCCTAATCCTAGCTTCTGTGCCTACTCTTATACAGAAGGCAGTAGCTTTTCTTACAACTCTTTTAATCAAAATGTAAGGCCCTAAAGCAAGGGCCATTTTTTAAACATAAGATTCTGTATTATCCTACTTTCATAAGTACAACTATCTTCATTCCCCAGTTGATCCATAATCCAGAGAGTTCTGCTCTCTGTGGCTCTAGTGGATAAAATATAATCCTAGTTCTTAAGAGTATGGTTTGAATCTCAGGTCAAAGTTTCTATTTTGGGTTGGAAGGCTGTGGCAAGATCAACACAGCTAGAGTCGATACAGCAATCATGAAACAACCAAGAACGTGGGAGGGGCAGGGACCTCTCAGAAACCTCTGGGTTGGATCTGGTTAGTCATTCTTCATGTAACAAACATGTGAGCGCCAACCACACTGCAAGGAGTAAAACAATTAGGAAAGCAGAGTATCTGTGTGACAGCTGTACATACCCATAAGGCACAACAGGAAGAGGAGCCCTGTGTGGGACACCAGAAAGCTCAAAGAAGTCTGGTGACTGGTCCTGGGCAGCTTCCCAATGCCAATGCCATCACACAGTGGCAAGCAGGAAGGTACTAGCCCAACCCCAAGGGCAATCTAGGTGATATACTTGCACCACGCCCTCCTCCAATCTAGGTGATATACTTGCACCGGTGATATACTTGTACCAAACTGGGCCTCTTCAACTGTGGTCTAGGAACCAGTCAGCAAGCCAGTACTTTTACCTCAGAACAAGACTGTTTATGAGCAGACAGCCCAAACAAATCATCTCTTAGGACAAACTCTCCTTAGAAGCTGGGTGCAGTGGCACACATCTGTAGCCCCAGTGACTTGGGAGGCTGACGAAACCCACTTCTCCTTAGAAAGAGAAGTCAAAGGCTGATTCCACAGAAAAAAAAAGTACTGCTCTCTCCTCACAGCTGGCTTAAGCAAAGCTGGAACTCAAAGGCATATTGTTGAGAACAAGTCCCCAGTGTCTGACAGGCAAACAATGTTTCTGATAGAAAGAAACTCTCCACTGGGCTCCCACAGCCTTGGGTCCAGGCAGAGCTCGGCCCCTGTTCTGCTGCCAACCTTACTTCCTGGACATACTCCTGGCAGTGAGAACAGGCCACGGGAAGATTTACCTGCTAGATCCTTTCCTTCCTTTGAAGTTAGTCCCTAGAAGGCCAGTGTTGCAGTGATTGGGAATTTGACAGCCTCTGTTCAAGTTCCTGGAAAATCTCACTTTTGTTGATGTCAATCCTGTGTGTATGTATGAACTTTCTTTCTTTTTTGAGACAGGGTCTCACTATGTAGTTCAGGCTGGCCTTGAGCTCACTTTGTAACCCAGGATGGTCTCGAATTTATGATCCTTCTGCCTCAGCCTCCAGAGTGCTGGGATTACAGGCACATGCCACCATGCTCAGCATAAACTTTATTTCTCAGATAGGTTATTTAGAGAGAACTTTACTTTGGAGGGTGGTAGTACTGGGGATTGAACCCAGGGCCTTTGAACTGAGCTGCCATTTTAAAAATTTTGAGCAAGGGTTTTGATAAATAGTTAAACTCATCCAGACTGGGCTGGAACTTGCAATCTTCCTGTCTCAACCTTCCAGAGTGCTGGGATTACAAGTGTGCCAGGATTCAAATACCCATGCAGACCTCCACAGCTGGTAAGTTTCCTTTCAGCATCCTGGACAGAGCAGAAAGGCTACAGGGGGTTGACCTGGTCAATTTCCACCCAGGGTATGAAGTTCGCCTTGTTCTGTCAGCTGGTTTGCTAGATACACTCCGTTAATTTGCAGGCAGTCGGCTCCAACAAGGCATGGTTTAGCCATGCGAGGTTGGAACTACCTCCCATCCTATCAGACCTTCATCTCAGAGATCTAGTCGTCTATGCAGCTTCAATGACAGTTTCTTTACATGACTATTTATCAGAAACCAAATGATACCCACATTTGACCACCACCCTAACTTCGTACTTCTCTAGTTATTTAGCACGTCTCTACTAATTACTTAGTACTTAGTTCACAGACATCTGCACTGGAAGAAAAAAAAATCTTAGGTCCTAATTACTTCATGGGTTTCAAGCTCATCAACTTCCTATCCTCTTACGGAGTTCACATATACTCTTCAGGGAACAAACACTGCGGTGTTCAACCCTCTTCTTTCACACACCCAAATCAGTGATCAATACAATTAACACAGGAAGCCAGAAGCAGCTGTCTCCCTTCCCGTAAAAGACGCGACACACTGGGCTGCAGCAGGATCACGCTCGGGATCTGAGTCCGCACCTGCTCACAGCCCTAGATCTAACTTGTGTTCCAGAATTGTTTATTATCTGACCCGCGCTCGGACCCAGCTAAGTTAACAATAAACTTCCTCTCCTGCCACAACCGCAAAAAGCTAGAAGCCTCAAATGAGCGTGCGGGAGAAGTTTTAAGTCAGGGTAGCTGTCAGATGTTTTAAAGAGAGAAACACCTTAACGGCGATCCTGGAACTTTTGGAGGTACTGTTGAAGTCGCAAAATCAGAACCGGAACCCTTTCCCCAGCCACCAGGGTCCCGCTGTGTGTAGGAGGGGACCCGAGTCTGGGAGGAAGCGGAGTCGGGGACTGGCCCCACGGGAGGGAGGGGCGCCTCCCGCACCCCGCTCCGGGCGGGCTTGGGGATCCCGCGGCCGCAGCGGCACGGACACCACCCCTTCCCGGGGGACCACAGCCTCCGCTCGCCGCGAGCCCGGGGACGGCCCGACTCACCCTGGGGGCAGAGACGGGAGATTTGGGGGAACGAGACACGCACCAGGCCCTGTCGGACCCTGTCACAGACCTACACACCGGGGACAGAACAAAGAACGGAAGTCTCCTCCACTTTCACTTCCGGGTCGTCTTTTTCACTAACCGTCCCACCACCGTGCTTCCGACGCCATTTTGTTCTCTCTAGGAAAGTGGGAGGTCTTTACCTCTCTGTGGTTTACGGACTCAGGTCCGCTCACCCTCAGTCAGAGCGGAGGGGCCGAAAGCTGACGTGGCAC